TTTTTATGCATTCCAGGCGAAACAACTGCTTATTACAATCTTCGAAAGACTTATACCAAATAAGCAGAATTATGGTAACTATCGCTGCAAGACCTAACTTTCGAGATAACGGAAGTGATAAAAGTCATTCTCGAGAAGCGATAGCCTCTCCGCTGCTCAAAACATTTTGGAACCGAACGTGTTATTACAATATTCACAACTCGTTGCCGTGTTATTTTCTTACAAATATAATGTATCTCCCTGAAATACTATCCTCTGAAATTTGTGCAAATTTGTAGTCAGAGTACGTAAGTAACTCCTCGGAGCCGAGTTATCTTTGACAAGCTAATTGTTGATCAATTAGTGAATAACACCGCCGTAAGGTTTATTAAAATGTTCACGATCTGCCACAAGTTCATATTCTGACGCACTTGAATCGAGTCCACATTTTACTCAACCTTTTCCTTGGTCCGTACGTCAAATGATTCCCGAAATAGTCATATCCAGGTCACATCCAAGACCTTTTTAACTCCGCCAGCTGTCACCAAATTACATGACTCAAGTTCAAAGAAAAATCGTGCAAAGTTGCAACTGGAGCAGCGGAGCCCAGGCGAGTGAAGACAACTCAGATCTCGCAGCGTAGCAAAGCTAAAACCGTTGTGCTGTTGACAGCCAGGGGAACGAAGTACTTCCGTGGTCTTAAAGCACGGCTACTCTCAACAGGTGGGCGGAAGTATCCTTCGGTGCTAGAAACAGGGCCTTACACGCATAAACCTCACAGCATCAAAAAAGAAGCTACTGAAAATACAGAAAAGAAATACCAAAAAAAGTGAGCGTAATATAAACGGTAATTTGTTTATTTAAAAATGTGGCAAATTTCAAGTACGTGGTGAGTGATGACCACAGTAAGACTTATCTGTATCCTCTACTTTCTGTCTTCTCTCATTATTCTTTCATTCTTTAACTTTATCTTACATTTCCTTTCAGTATCCATCTGTCTTTTCTCCAGTTCCTTTTCACAGTCCTTTTCCTCATTTTCTTCTTACTTATTTCATTTCTTTACTTACTTTCTTCTTCGTTTTTGTAGTGCAACATTTTCACTGCTATGATATTCTTAGTTCTTTTACAAAGTGATGCAAAAGATAAAGAATAGTTTGGGAACATATGCGTGTATAAGCAGAACAAAACTGTGCATTACTTTATTGCAGAATAGTCCCAAAGTTTATGCTTCTAGTAATGGTTGGTATCATTTTTTAGGCTGTAATTATCATAGAAAAAGTTTGGGTACGCTGTTTTTTTATCGGATGTTGTAAAACCATACAATTTCGCGAGAACGGAATGACAAGCTAGGATTGTTCGCTTAACGATACTCCTTCTTTTATGGCATCCGCAGAATAATTTGAGTTTAATGGAAACTGCACAGACAGAAACAGACCATCGCAAAGAAAGGCCTCTCTGAACTTTGTTTGGATTGGAAGGGGGATTTCGTTGTGCTTGTAGTCAGCCTGTCCATCTGTCTGTCTCGTTTCTCTCAAATGGTACTGAAATGATGAGAGTAGAACTGGGATAGCACATCCACAAGAATGTATGGCATCTGAAGCCCGCACTTAATTGGCGGACCAAGTGGGGACATTCAAGAATGCGGGCAGCAAGAAACGGACAAGTAACGTTGGCGGTTCACGTCACATGTCGGTATCATTCGCAATCCCCATTGGACTTGCGGGCAATTGCAGTATTGGGTTTATTGGTGAGGGAGTCAAAAACAACGAAGAATATTACATAATGATATTAAGTTCTTCGGAGGTTAAATATGTGAAATGACAGACGTTAATTCACGAATTTCTCGTTATTTGGCAGAATCGCCCTGATGACGGAGGCA